AAAATGTAAAGACCATAAAAAAAATAAAGAAATCTTGTGGAGTCAAGATTAATATTAGTGGACCAGTGAGGTGAAGATGACTCATTTTAACATATCAGGTGAATTTTTGAACTACTGTTTTGAAACAAGAATGCCTTGGAAATTATTACTTACCTAGGGGACCCTCTCAAAAGGAGGTAATGGTTTATACTGCCCTATTATTTAAATTTTATGTCTTTTTCAAAAATGGCAAATGTATAAAGATTTGTGATTATACCTTCTTCCTCACTTCCCTTAAGTGACTATCTCTGAAGAATATTCTGGAGGAAATTATCAGGGACTGTGCGCCCTGATGCAAGTAAACTGGATAAATTACTTTGAATTTATAATTTATAATACTCTCTCAAAAACTGTTCTCCAGATTTTTGAATATGACACTTTCACCATAAAGAAAACTTTTTCTCATCTGATATTTCAAGTCTATTATTTCACCTATTAAATTGTCATTTAATTATTAAATGACTCACAGATAAACAAAAGATTAACTAACTTAAGCTTTCTAGTATTTCACTTACCAGATAAATTAAAAAGTTTCAGGTTGGGAAGAGAATAGAAGAAAGTGAGACACCAACATTTCCAGAGGATCCACAATGAACCCCTTTGCAGTGATGGTAGAGGGACACCAAATATGTTGATCTAGATTGTCTTTTATTTTTCTCTGTAAATTGCTCTCACAGCCCCATTGGACTCACCATGATGGTGAATTGGATCAGCACTCTTGTTAGAAATTCTTCGTCCAAACAGGGAAATTGAGGACAGTTTGCAAAGAAAATGTAGAATAGTTGGTAGACAACTGGAAGGTTAATAGCAGTAGGGACCCATTACAACTATAAATTTGAAGCCAAGAAGGCATAATTGTTTGGAGCTCAGAGAAAACAACTATAGGAGAGGTCAACTGACAGGAGAGAGAAGTTCTAATCTTTAGTGGAGGGATGCTGCCAACTTCCTCAGTCTGTCCAGGAAATACTAAGCAGGATGGATAATCTGGCCTCACTTTCCACCCTGCCTTTTATTAGCAAATCCAATTCCAAAAGAAAGAGAATCTGTTGAAACAGACCATAAGTTTAGTATTAATGGTACAAAACAAATAGACAAGGGGTGGGAGTAGATCATGAGACATGGAAATTATTCAGTATAACATATTTTTAATGTCTTTTCCTTTTATTAATCCTCAGTAGTAAGACTTCACCAAACACTTAGATAAAGGAAAGTTAGTGCATGGAATGAATAAGAAATAATGTTAAGGGTATATAAATGGTTATATGGTGAATATGGTTAAATATATATCACTCTCTTAAAAGTTGTTAAGAGTGCATCATAAACATTTTCACAAAATTCACACAAAAATATATTACCTGCATTAACTATGTGCGGGAATGGGTATATTAATTATCTTAATCTTGGTAACCATGTGTGTGTGTGAAATTACCACTTGTTTACTTTAAATATATACCATTGTAGTTGATTATTCCTCAATGAAATAAAAAAAAATGGTGAGTCTTGAGACATATGGATTATATTTTTGTTATAATTCATCCTAAAGTTTAAAATTGGATAATATGAAAGTGTGAAAGTTACCCCAAAATGCCAATTTCTATAAATAAGTTTTTGAAATTAATGTGTCATTACCTTATTTTGGATGTGGTTATTCACAATACAAACTATTATACTTAATATTTCCGAGGGTGGGGTGGGGAGAAAGTTGAGGACTCTATATTTTTACATTTTACTATGCAATACAGGGGAAAGTGATAAAATAAATGACAGGGTGCCACCACTTGAAAACAAATCAACTATTTTTAGTTTATCATATCTTTTTTTAAAAGATTTTATTTATTTATACAAGCACTGGGATACAGGCCAGAGGTGCGGGAGGGTAAAAGAATTCACCAGAGACAGAGCAGGGAGCAGAACAGGCAGAAGGACCAATGCATACTGCTGAGTGGAGCAGAGGACAAGGTAGGGGAGGTCTGCCACACCATGTGGGAATCTCCTGGCTGGCTGGGAATCAAATGGGCACTCAGAAGCTGCGGACAGCTTCACAGCGCTGTGCTCAACCCGCTGCGCCACCAGGGAGGCCCTGTTTATCATATCTTTGATGGTTAGTCATACTTAAGACTTTCTGGCCATGCTTCTCATTGTGTTTAGAAAACAGGGAAGAAAAGGCAAAATGAAAAAATAAGCAAAAAGATTGGCAACTTTCTGAAATTCACTCTATTTATCGGTGTATATATGTATCAGGATTTAATATTTGGACATTTGAAATGTAGAAAGTAGCTATATTCAGCACATTGCTAAGAATTATTCACTGAAAGTCAGATGCTGGGTAATACTTTTCTGCAGTGTAATAATAGAGCATTTTCAACATTAGTGCAGTGTAATTTCATCAGGATCCCTGATGTATCTGGATCCCTGTTTTTGGAAAGGAACCACATGATTTGATAGTATCATGTGGTTGCTCTAATTTTGAGGTAGAGATATTAATTCCTATATCCTTTCCATAGTAAAATGATTTACTCCTTCTCTATATGTTCAACTGAGTTCATGATATTCTTGAGTTTATTCTAACACAATACATATTGTAAAACTACTGCTTTATCTTAAGTTTACTATAACAGAATAACAGTAGTATTCATACTTTCCTGGCAGACAAGATACCATGATTATGAAGGTAGTTTTCCCAGGGCATGCCTTGCCCATTGCACTCTGGGTGTGCTGACCCATGCAATTTCCCCAAAAGTGAGAAAAAAGAATGTATAATTTGTGGTAGTGAGGGACTGCCTGTGTGCCCTTTCGGTAAAAAAAGGGAAAAAACAGAAATAAAAGTGACTCAACTGGCCTTTGTGCCAATAATTTGTGACTTGAATAGGTGATTTATTTTAAATGTTTTATAACTTTAATACATAATGGTTTGTTTGTAAATATTAGTAATTTTCCAAAGTAATTTTAAAAGTACATGAATGGAGTAACAACAAAGATAATGTTACTTTTTAAAAAAGTGTATTGATTAATGAACATGGATATCAAGCTACAAAAAGTTCAAATTTCATGTGTCAAATATACACTAATAACCAATCATTATATTTTTTATCTGAAAGTAGATAAGATATATAAACCTTTGGTAGGGAAATGGAATCTGGTCACAATATCAGAGTTGTTTGCATTGGAGCATGTTTGTGAGAATAATTTATTTATCACTTCTTGGGGGTGTCTTGTTTTTCATGTTTGAGAGCTAGAAAATATTAGTTCCCTAGATTTAAAGAATCTGTAACACAAAACAAATTCATTTATATGATACTAAAATAACAAGTTAATATTTATGATAATGGAAAGTACTCCAAAAATGTCTGCGTTTAAAAAATATTTTACTATATATGGATCCTCTAGTGTCCTCACATATGTCCACAATCAAATAATCTTATATTTGAGGCACTTTTCATACACAGTATATGTACAGATGTTGTCAAAATATTACTCATCATGTTTTGTCTATTGACTTGGTTTTTAGTTTATGTGTCCAAAAAATATTAAGCATCATGTGCACACTGTTAAAATTGGGGGTTTGGGGTACGTATGTGTGTTAGGTTTTTCTCTCATTCAAGTCTGCTGTATTCTAGCTCATGCAGAAGGTATATAGCAGCAGTAGAAAATCATCCTAAGTTACTGATTTTTACATCATCTGTAATATTTACAAAAGAAATAAAGAAATTTCTGAAATTGTAATAAATTTTGAGACCATGAGGCTGTTAGGAACTGATAAAACTCAAAAGCCTCTGTAAACACATTGTCAATCCCGCTATTGCTCTTTCTGTTTAAATCATTTAGAGAAACAGAAAGATTTGGAAAGTTTATAAGGTATTTCTCAAATATCCAAAACATGAGAAAATTTATTTACTAAAGCCTGCTTTTCTTTCCCCTCAGTGTAACTGAGTCTTTGAAAAATCTCAGAACAAATTGTATACAAAGGAGGTTGGAATTTGAACCCTTGTATGTCTGCTATTAAAGCCCAGATACTTTCAAAAATTCCTTATTTTAGTCCCCTATACCACTTTGTAATTTCTCAGGAACCCATTTTACAAGCAAAGTGATATAAATTTTCTTCTTAATTTAGTATATTCATTAAAAAAAATACTTATTTAATATTTTGACATTTAACTCATTCAGAAATATTTATAATGCACACACTGTTTCTGAATAATGTGTCACAGCTGTAATTTATTTAAATAAAAAATATAATCATTATCATCAAAGACTCAGAATTCTAACAACAAAATTTTATTATGTGAATTATCAAAGATCAGCTTAGAAAATCACTAAAACATTTCTTTGTGGAATAGTCACGTGACCTAAGGCAAGAAAAGTTTGAAATGTTGGAAAGCATGGAAATTTTGTCGGGACACTTGATAAAACATAGGATAGATATTGGGAAGTGTAAATATTTGGAACTGCTTGAAAATGTATGAAGAATGGATAATTATATTATTGGCCATAATAAGTATCTTAAACATTCATATTTGAAAGTAGAAATAGGTCTTGTGTTTTACAAAGATCATTTTCTATTGAACTTACATAAAATTGAGGGCTACAAATGCATTTAATTTTACCTTTGATCTCCTTTTGCCTTATGTTCTTTAGTTTTTAAAGATGTAAAGTAAGGTCATGTGCATGTCAGATATAGTCACATTTGCATTCTAATAATATCCAGACTGAGAAAGCCTAGCTTCTATGCTATTATACGGCGATATAACAAATGTGTATTTACTTCCTTCATACTGTATTTCCTTAATTGTATTCTGAAAAAGCAGTATACATGATGATAAAAGCTAACAAGTTTTATGTACCAAAATGCACTGAAAGTTTTCAGAGTCAACAACTTATGAAAAAACAAATTAAGCAAAGTTAACATGTATTTATAACAGATGTAGTTTTAAAGTATTTAACATACTAATTGGATTGTAGACTCCATGGGAATATGCTCTGTGCAGCTTTATAAAATATCATTTGAGTATGGGAAATTATTTTGTAAGAAATTTTGATATCAGAAGAGATTTAAATGTACTTTAGTTACATGTTGAAAAAAATTTTCATTGAATATAGGTCATTATTCTGAAGTTAAGTATATTAATTAAAGTGGTAGTGTTGCATTTCATATAATTTGTACAGTAGTTTATTAAATCACATAAAATGTCACTATCATGACATAACTTCTGATGAGAGCACAGGTGTAATTATTTGGAGATCTTTGGGCAAAGATGGTTAACTTTAACATGATGCCTCAGAAAATCTGAATAATAGTTTGAAATTCCGTAACACTTGTTACAATTGTTGATAACTAGAATCAAATTCAACATAATGGATAGAATATAATTATACAACCTTAACAATTACAACCTAACAATTATACAACCTTAACAAGTATAAAACCTAACAATTACTACAACATTCATTGTAGGTTGTGACTACATTGAGCTTGAGGCATTTGCTTCAGGTGCAAGAATTAACTGGATGTCAAAAAGTAAGTAATCCAGATAAATCATATTTTTAAGTCAATATAAATGCAATATTAAAAGAAGTTATTCAAAATCAGTGATGAACAAAATAATCAAGTTTTAAATGGAGAATCAATTTATTGAATTTTCCTTTTGTATTAAGTACAATATGGTTTATCATGCTGCTAGTTATACCCTCACTGTTTATTAGAAATTACCTAAAATAAAATAAAATATTTTAAAATATATCATAAAATGGGTCTCATGGAAAATATTTAAATATAAAATTTTGTTAGATTCTTCACTAGTGCTGTTTCTTATCCTACTACATTGGAAAATATAAAGTGATGATAAAACTCTAAAATTGTGGAGAAATAATGCCAACTCAACTATTTTCACTGATTTAAAATAAGGTTCCTTTTGTTACAAAGACTCCAAAACTATTTGCATGCCTTCATATATGGAACATGGGAATATGTTTATGGTTTGTAAATGGAATTCTACTTGTTAGCCAAGATCAATCTTTTGTAGTAACAATTAAATATTAGTAAACATTTCCTTTACAGAACATTTGCATTGTTTAGTAGGTAGCTACGGTAAGTGAAAAATTCTTCCAGCAATCAATTTTTAATTTGCCCACTAGGAAAATCCTTTCTGGACAGATTGTGTATTTATTGAGCAGTATAACAGATGTAGAATATATTTTGTCTTGCACTATTTTTTTTAATGTTTAATTGTAACTTACAGCCAGAAAGAAGATGTAAAATACAATCAAGTAAGGGAGGGAAAACACGTTCAGAAAAGCAATTTTGATCATAAGCATGTGGTATCTATAGAAACTGTTGTGTTGGAAAAGGGTTTGCCATTTCAGTGATCAAGTTAATGAAGGTATCATTAGATCTCTATTTTAACAGCAATTTTACAACATATTACATTTTATGTAGCTGAGCTGTTATATTGCTAATTTAGCTTTTCAGATTATTGGAGTCAGAAATTCTTTTATTTCATAGAGAATAAAGGAATGCTGAATATTTGAGATAAACAAAATTGCTATTTAGAAACAAAGTACTCTGAGATATTTAGATGAGGGAATTCCCCATGAAGAAGTGCTTGTTCTGCCTCTTCCAGCAAAGGGAAACACAACCCATGTGACACACCAGACCGACTGGGTTATAGTCTAAAAAAATGTATAGGTATTATATTAACTAGAGGAAATGTTCTCCAGTTTCTGGAAGCTGAGGAACAAATAAAATAATATAATATGTCTTAATAGTAAAAGCTGGAAGGAGGATTGGGGGGAGGGGAGAAGATTGTATTTTACATCCGAGAAATTTTATAATCATTACATTTAATAGTTCCCCTATACATAGGAGCAAATCTCTGACACTATCAGTTAACAAATTCTCTTTTCAATTTCTATGCAAAAATTTCCACAGTCTGTTATTCTGTTATTCATTATCTAGATTGCCACTCAGAGAAGGACTCCCTTTGCTACTGGCTATTTTGAAGGTAGTGGTTCTTGAGGGCCTGAGCTCTGATTTACCTCTCATTCTCCCATTTTTCCCACCCTCCTCTCTATATTAGGATGAGTTAAAAAAAAAAAAAAAGCAAAACATAATTTCATTATCGCTTTATTCCGTAGTTTTGTTTGTATGTTCTGTGACCAAACACAAAGAATGATTTTTCTATAATGCTAAATCTTTCCCTAACTTTAACCTAGCTCCATTATACCAATCATAATCATTTTCTAGAGAATATTTCTAGGTGAATTGTAGTTGGATATACCTCTTAAATCTGAAGGTGTTGCGTTACCCATCTAATAAGTTACCTGTTGTTATCACTGACAACAACATAAAAAAGAAGTCTTGGTACAAATACCAAGTAGTGTTTTCCCATCTTTGTCTCATTTCAAAAGGCCACTGTAATCCTTTAGAGAACTAGTCTTTGTTGTATATATTTCATCTCCATTGGGTGCCTCTCTGAAAGAAGGCATATTCAGTGATAGTAATCAAGCTAAAGCATTTATATGAGCAAATTACATGATCTGTATTCTGTAATCCAGGCTACATGTGAATGTGAAATGATGAATGAACAAAATAATGTTTCAAATTTAAAAGATCCATGGGATGATATGTCCATATCAGAATTTTTCCCTCTCATTACTGTTTGTTCATGCTGTGGTTATTTGGTTTCTCCTTTTCTCTGTAACATCCTCTTACTCCCTCTTGGTTTATTCTATTATCCCTTAATATGATGGCAAATTTAGTAGTTGTATGAGATAAAACATAATACCTCTTTCCTCTAC